AAAAAAAAAAAAAAGAATTGACATATTGGAATATATTTGATAAACTAAATGATATTAAGATGAAGATTTTATTCATCAAAAATGTCATTTAGACAGTGGGGAAAAAAAATTTGCAAAACAGCAAACAAAGAACTGACACCTCTAATATGTAAAGAACTCTTACCAATAAACAAGGACAAGATTGAGACTCAAAAGAAAAAAGGATAAACTCTTGAACAGGTACTTAACAAATGAGGTTACCCAGTTAATAAAGTAAAAAAGCTTTCTATAAAGTAGAAACGGTGGGACAATCCCTTCAGATTTCCTCCCGCAGTGGGAGCTTCTCTGTCCTCACTTTTTCATTAAAAAAGAAAGAAGGAAGGAAGGAAGGAAGGAGAGAGAGAGAGAGAGAGAGGGAGAGAGAGAGAAAGAAAGAAAGAAAGAAAGGGTATTCTACTTCATTAGTCACTAGGGAAAGCAGGGAAATACAAATTAAAACTAGCTCCACTAAAATAGCTAAAAGAAGAAAGAAGTATTGTCAAGAATGTGGAGTAACAAACATTTCATATCCTGCTAGTAGCGGTGCACACTGGTATAGCTACGGGGGAGAGAGGATCTGTGCCACAGCTAGACACAAGCTCACCAATGACCATTTCAGGAGTATGTGTACAACAGAAATGTTTACCTTAAGACATTCGGAAAATATCAACAGTAGTAATATTTCTAACAGACAAAAACTAGAAACTAGTCAAATTCTAATCAACAATAGAATGAGCAAATTAAATATAGTTGTTCAGGCAATGAAGTATGATACAGTAATGAGGGCTAGGCACGGTGCCTCACGCCTGTAATCCCAGCACTTTGGGAAGCCGAGGCAAGAGGACTGCATGAACCCAGGGGTTCAAGACCAGCCTAGGCAACTTGGTGAGACCTCATCTCTACAATAAAAATTAAAAACTTAGCCAGACGTAGCGGTGCATGTCTGTAGTTCCAGCTAGTTGGAAGGCTGAGGAGGAAGGAGCTCTTAAGCACAGCAGGTCAAGGCTGCAGTGGCTGTAAGCGTGCTATTGCACTCCAGCCTGGGCGACAGAGTGAGACTCCGACTCAGTAAATAAATAAAGCAAGCAAGCACACAATAAATACAAATGTTAAAACTCAACTAGAAATCCATTCACCATTCTGAACATTTTAATCAGCATTTTTACCCTGTGTAATCTTCAAGCTTCACATCAAAATCTAAGAAAACAACAATATTTACAGTCACCTATATGGTAAGTCTTAAACTTTATGGATGGGTGGGAATATAAATTAGAACATCCTTTTTGAAGGGCAATTACTGTCACTGGATCTCACTTACCCATTTTAAATGAACACAACCCAATACCCAACAATCTCACTTTTTGAAAGTCTGTCACATTTTAACAGCACTTACTTCACAATAATATGAAGCATTAGGAAGGTCAAAGTAACATGTTTGTAATAGTAAAAAGTCAGAAACAATCTAAATGGCAATCAACAGAAAAATAGTATAAAAGTTATGATGCAAAACCGGGCTCAGTGGCTCAGCCTGTAATCCCGCGCCCTTGGGAGGCTGAGGTGAGTGAATTGCCTGAGCCCGCAGGTTTGAGACCCGCCTGGGCAGCGGGACCTCATCTCTACAATAAATCAAAAAATCAGCCAGGCGTGGTAGCGCATGCCTGTAATTCCGGCTACTAGGAAGGCTGAAGCGGAAGGATCGCCGGAGCCCAGCGGGTCGAGGCTGTGGTGACCAGGAGCGGCCACTGCACTCCAGTCTGGGCGACAGAGTGAGACTCCAACTCAAAAAAAAAAAAAAAGTTATGATACAGCCGGGCTCGGTAGCTCAGCCTGTAATCCCATGCCTTTGGGAGGCTGAGGTGAGTGGATTGCCTGAGCCCGCGCGTTCGAGACCTGCCTGGGCAGTCTCGACAATAAAACAAAAAATTAGCCGGGCGTGGTAGCGTGCGCCTGTAATTCCGGCTACTGGGAAGGCTGAGGCAGAAGGATCATCGGAGCCCAGCAGGTCGAGGCTGCGGTGGCCGGAAGTGGCCACTGTACTCCAGTCTGTGTGACAGAGTGAAACTCCAACTCAAAAAAAAAAAAAAAAAGTTATGATACAGTCACACCAGGGGATAATTTGTAGTGTTAGCAGGAAAAAAGAGTCTCATGATAAAACATTCTCTATAAATCACATTTTAAAACTATGTATATGAGAAAATACATATTTAAAAGATAGGCAGGATACAATAAACAGTTTATCCATAACTTCTGCAAAGTGAGATAAGAAAAGAAAGAGTTTAGAGAACAATTTATTAAGCAGCCATAATTTTGCATCTTTTGGTTTTTTTGATGAACAGGTATTTTTATTTTAAAACATCAAACAAGTTAAGAATAGAGAAGTTAACATGAACTGCATTAA